TTCTAGGAAGTTTATTGTGTCTTGTCTTATGTTTAAGTCTTTAAGCCATTTGAGTTTATTTTTGTCTATGGTGTGAAGGTGTGTTCTGATTTCATTGATTTATATGCAGCTGTCCAGCTTTCCCAGCACTACTTGCTGAAGAGACTGTCTTTCATCCATTGTATATTCTTTCCTTCTTTGTGGAAGATTAATTGACCGTAAGTGTGTGGGTTTATTTCTGCATGCTCTCTATTCTGTTCCACTGATACATATGTCAGTTTTTGTGCCAATACCACACTGTGTTGATTACTGTAACTCTGTAGTATTGTCTGAAGTCTGGGAGGGTTATTCCTCCAGCTTCATTCTTTTTCCTCAGTATTGCTTTGGCAATTCTGGGTCTTTTGTGATTCCACATAAATTTTAGGATTATTTGTTAATACTTTACCTTAAGAATAAAGATCAAAGTACCTTTTAATGGACTAGTACAAATTTGTTTTGAAAGGCCAATTCATAACAAATGCCAAACCAAGTGTTAAACCATCTTAAATATTTTCAGGATCTTTCTATAAATGTCTTAATGAGGAGAGGGTATAGAACTGTAAGTTGTAAATGTATAAATGAATCCTCCAGCCTTTCTCAATCAAAATTTTTCATCTGAACTACAGAACACAGAGGGTGATTTGAGGGACTGTTCTCGATTCTCCCAAGAATGACACATAACTAGTACCAATCCAGGTGCATAGGGGAGAAGTTAATTTATTGCACACAATGAATGTATTAGAATGTTCTCTAGGAACCCTGGTTAGTTGGACTGTGTATGTGGCAAGTTCTTAAAAAGGATTTTGCTTTGACTAAATTATGATGTTTATACAAACAACAGTATATTTTTTTAGATTACAGGTCCACCAGGTTGTGGAAAAACTCAGTTCTGTATAATGATGAGCATTTTGGCAACATTACCTACCAACATGGGAGGATTAGAAGGAGCTGTTGTGTACATTGACACAGAGTCAGCATTCAGTGCTGAAAGGTAGGTGATTTTATTATTTTCCATTATAATGCTTTGTTTTGTAACTTATATACAGAATATAACATTTACAAACGGGTTAATATTTACCTTTCTTTTTGAGGACACAGAATGCTAGATACTGTTTTGAAGGAATTTAAAAAAAAATTGATAGTTTCTTTTTGTCTTTTGTATCCCTTCTTATTGATTTAAGTGGGGTTGGGAGATAAGCTGTGTTTTGCAGAATGTCAAGAAGAAACAAGTTCAAGAAGCAGGGAGTAATGTAAGTAGAAAATGGGGAAGAGGGGAAATTAATAAAAAAGACAAAAGGTGAGCTGCTTTGTGAGTAATTTCTAGTTGGAAATAAAATATTAGTGAATGGAAAAACTACCATTTTCAAAACATTTTTTGATTAGAAGTATTTTGCTTTAATCTTTGAAATAATGTGGCATTAAATGCAAGAAACACACTGATAGTAAGTATATGCATGCTTGGAAAGAAAAGATTTCCTTAGTTTGGCAAGGACCTTTAACATTCTGTGAGAGAGGCTTTCAGTCGTTTGTGTAATTCTGTACACCTGAGGATGTCTCGTCTGCTCTTCCCCTGCTCTAATTGACGTTCGTAAGCAAGGATGCTTTATACATCTGGAGACTGATTCAACTCTGTTTCCTTAGCCAAAGTGTCATATAGGGAGAGTCCTTGGAGTCTTTCTCTAATTATGCAGCAATGAGTCTTCCTTATTTCTCTCTAAGAGTACAAAAAAGGTCAAAGTGTATTACCTGACCAGATAAATTCCAAATGGCTTGTTTTGTCTAGAGCTTATTTGTTTTGTTCTGCATCTCTTGATTATATTCTTTCTAAGTATATGTCGCTGGATTGTCAGCTTTTTGAGTTTGTGTTTTATCTTTGTCTCTTCAAAGCCAGATCCAATGACTGACACATACTAACTATTCAGACAATGATAAATGAAGGAATTGACAGGTGTTCCTCTTCAGATCATGAAATCCAGATACCATTTCCTACTAAAAGGAATGAGGGTTCCATGGAGAAATGGCTGACTGTAGCTCTGGAGCAAGAAATTTTTAAGTTGAGTCTAAAACATCTTAGCAGATAGCAAGAAAGCTATCAAAGACTCCTTAAGGGAATGACAGAAGGATTCAGGGTCAACCTGAAGAGCTCCCACCGGCCAAACGTGAAACAAATTGAGCAAGAATAGAATAACAATGGAATGAAATATGTTTAAATCCACATGTCTATAAAACTAGGGAATGAAAAGTAACAAATTGATCACCATTGGAGAACTCTGCAGAAGCAACTTATTATTTTGAAAATGAGTTAAAAAAATTAAGCATTTATTCTCCTCTTTCTATATGAATAATATAACTAAGTAACAAATAGATCTTTTTTATAGAAGTATTCCAATAATAAATGAAGAAGGAATGATAGAATATCACCATATTATAAACTTTAATAATCTAATGAATCTAGCCACTGAATTTTGTGATATAGTAAAAAATATGTATTTTGTCATCATCATGGTTCCCAGTAAAAGAATTTCTAAAAGCTTTGGAATTTCCTCAGTAATAAAACTGAGAAGAGTAGTACTTGTTGTTCATAATTAGCCATACCTCAGTTTATGCTAATGAGATGGCTCTTGGTAGGCCCCTAGATAGCATCAGTTGGGGGCTGGTTGCTAGAGGAACCATTCATGTGATTATTAGTGTGAACTTTCAGCCTCACTTCTGCAACCTCTGAGGAGGGAAGAGGGACTAGAAATGGCCCAATTACATTTCCATTTAGTAAGTCTCCACAAAAACCTCTAACTGATAGGGTGTGGAGAGCTTCTGGGTTGGCGAACACATTGAGTTGCTGGGAGGGTGGTGCTCCCAATTTATAGCTGGTTGGTCTGAAATAACAGAGGCCTGGGACTTGCAATTTGTTTGAAGTGAGGGCGGTCTTGTTGGTCTAAGCCTTTAACCTGTGGGGTCTCAGTTAATTCCTGGTAGGTAGTGTCAGAATTGGATTCACTTGTGGGACACCCAGTTGGTGTCTACAGGGAATTGGAGAATGTCTCAGTGTGGAAAACCTACACATTTGGTGTCAGAAGTGTTACAAATAAAAACAGTTCATAAATAGAAAAGGCTTCTAGCATCACAAAAAGATAATCAGTCATTGTGGTATTTCCTGATGGAAGAATAATCAAACCTGAAAGTGGTCAAGACTACAGGTCCAACAACCAGTTGACAACGTATACAGAGAAGAGAAGAAAAAGTGAAACTACACAGATGAATGCAATCAGAAAACCCAAACTGTGGGAAACGACTGAACAAACAACAGTCAATTTTTAGGATAAAAAAAGAGTTAGAGGAGGATGCTTTGAATTAAAAGAGACTTAAAAGATGTATTGCTCTCATCACATGGTACACCTTAGACTTACACAATGTTATATGTCAATTGTATCTCAATAAAGCTGAGAAAAAAGACATTGATTAATTGCAGTGTGATAAACTTATTTACATGTTAAATAAATAGTAAAAAAAAAAAAGAAGAGAAGCATAAACATGTGAGAGCACTGGAAATCTGAACAATGAATATATTTGATACTAAAGCTGGAAAAGACACTGGAAATTTGAGCACAGATATATTTGATGCTAAAGCTGGTAAAGATACTGGTTTACTCAGGTTGTCCAAGTGAAAGATACTCTTTAATATGCCAATGACTAGCTTTCAACTGATAAGCCAAGAAGATATTAAATAGATAATAAATAGCTAATGTATAAATAGCTCTCACAAAGGTCCTGAGGAATTTGCTTGAAGAATTGAAAGATTAATGTTATTGTGATTAACAGCAGTTTAGTTCACTGTAATTAGATTCTTGCTTTTTTTGTACCACATACAAAACTGAGTTTAGTGTATCTTCTCAAACTATTGCATTATTTCATTCTTAACAGCATTACAGTTCAGAGTAGGTTAAAAACTGTGTCAGTGAATTAGGTAAAATCCAGTAGCAGGTGACTAATCTACATTTTCCAAATTAATTTGTGGACATTTTTGTTTGTTTTTCTTTGTCTTTGCATATAGCCTAATTGTCTACTTTTTGCATCCTTCACATTTACTTATTCTCCTTCATTATTTTTTCCTGCCTATGTGCATATTACTTAGTACTTGCATCATAGGCAGCCTGGAAAATGGAGTGGTAAAGTTTTAGTTCCTTTTGTTGGAATTATGTTGCATAATTATCCTTATAATTATGAAGTGACCTCTTATGAAGAAGGTCATTTGAAGATAGGAGTGCAAATTTATATTGTTTTTACTTTTCTAGTCTATTTTCCTCAAAGCTTGGAAAATGTGGTCATCTGGTGCTAGGGTCAGATGGAATCAAAAGTACCTGTGCTCTTTGGTTTAGATACCAGACTCCATGTTCTTATCTTGCCTTCTGGAGTTTGTCATGGCGAGTCACAGAGTGGAGCTGGCTCTGTACTGCCTGGTCACATTTCATTCGTACTTTTCCAAGACTTCATGATCTCTATTTGGAGTTATTGGGGAAGGTTGATCAATCAGCTAGGAAAGCTTTCTCCTGCAGGCAACTGAAGACCCAGAGAACAGTGGCTTAAATAGCTAGAGGTTTATTTTTGACCCTGTAACAAGAAGACCTGAGTAGGTGGTTGCCGGTACTGGTCCTGTCTCTCAGTGATGACGGAGACCTAGGGCTGGTACATTTTAGGTATTATATCCATTCTGTGCTCAAGTCAGTGTGAAGAGAAAGAGCAAATTATATCTCTTTTTTTCAGAGTAGCTGCCTCCTCCTCTGTGCCAATTTTCTTTTCATGCTCTGAAAGCCTTCTACAGGTTTCTCACTTGGTCACCTCTACATGCAAGAGAGGATGGAAAAGTGAGGGGAAAAGATTGTTGTAACAAGCATGATGGGGCTAACAGTATTGCCTGAGTAAAACTGTGGTTCCCATAGCAAGGAAGAAGTGGGAGTGGATATTGGTAGGTAATTAAGAACGTCTGATACAAGTGGAATAGTTTCTGGACTTAGAGAAGAGATAAAGTAGGAAATATGAGACTCAGAAAGGAGTGTGTTTCAGCTCTCTGTATGTGTCTCCATGTAGCATTGTGTCCATTTTGTGCTTACAAGCAAGCTGTCTGAAAAGCACAAACGAGAAAGTGAATTGAAGGATTAATATGAGGGAAGAGTAAAGGATTCAGATTAGAGAATTTAGGGTAAGTGATAAAAAGTAGAAAATAATTTGTCAATATATTGCTAGTTCTCTCTTTAAAAAGAAGGATATGCTTGTACATACCTTGAGAATATGGATATAGATTAGTGACATGTCTATGGAAATATTTTGGCAGCCATGAAAATTCCAGTATACGTGAATAAATACTATAATATCCCTATTGGAGATAATTAGAAAAACATGGAACTGGAGGATAAGAATAAAAAAGGAAGGTAATATATAAATACTAACAGAGGTTTTCAAAATAAAACTTTGGGAGAAATAAAATGGATAAAGGAAAATAAAGTGAGTCTTAGAACTGCAAGTGTGTGAGGGAGAGTGGGGGATCTGGGGAAGCAGGAGATGTGACCCAGGACCCTGGAAGGTGGGGACTCAGGGAGGTGGATATAGAATTGGAATTCAGGAGGTAGAAGTGGACATTCCTGAGCTGTCATGAAATCAGAAGAACTTTGAAAACTAGGAAGAAAGATGTAGTCCAACAGGGGAGGGAGACATTAACCAAATAATCACAAAAATATAAAATTATAACTATTAATAACTAAGTATACAAAGGAAGGAGATACGCTGTATTGGTTCCATGTGGAAGCAATAGCCAAGCTTAGATCTGAAGGAAGTTTTGTGCTTGGTATGCATGTCGCTTCGGAGAGTGCCAAGTACCCCACAGCCAGCACCCTCTAATTCCTACTCAACCTCCTAGAGTTGTCACTCTTTCTGAACCAGTGTACCAGGAGAGCCTGTAGCAGTAGTGGCCAGCATGCCTTTGGCTGATTTTGAAGGCAATTCCAGTGTGGTCTTACGACCATGTGCATACTTGCTAGCTGGTACATACCCAGGATCTTTGACCCAGGGGTAAACAATAAGAGAGATAAATTCCCTTTTGCCATTTTTTGAGATGGTTTCTTGAGTCTGAGTGGATTTCCCTTAGTTCAGTTCCAGCTGCCTTATCATTCGTGAATAAGGTGAATTAGTGGTGAGGGAGATTCTGAGGAGTTTCTAGGATAGAAAATGGAAATTAGTCATAAGTACTTACTATTACTCAAACAAAAATGTGGAATATTCTTGGAATCTGTAAGGAACTAATAAATTCATGTTATTTAGTAATACCACAGTGCTGAGCAAGTACGTATTGCATTAATGAACAGACAAGTATTACAAGAGGCTCTGAGAAACCATGAACTTGTATTTCAGCACATTTATGATGCTATATTTCAACTAGAATTTTGGAAAACTTTTTTTTTTTACATTAAGCATATGTTTTATTTCAAGTTGGCATGTAGTCACTAATGTAAAGCTTTTAACTTTCCTTTTATACAAGAACTGTGAAATAACGGGGGAACTAATAACAAAAACCTTGATCTGAGTGCAGTCTTTCCTGCTTCAATGGATGGTAATTCCATTCTTCCAGATGCTGTCCAGTTAGTCAAGAAATCCTTTCGACCCTCTGGAACTATATCTTGAGTATAGTTCCTTCTAATCACTTGAGCTGTTCTCTGGGTCAAGGCAGCATCTCTTATCTGGGCTACTGCACTGGCTGATCTTGCTGTCACCCTTCTCCCTCCATAGCCTCTTCTTCATTTGGTAGCTAGAGTGATTCTTGAAAAAAAAGAAGGAAGTCAGATCATATTAGTCCTGATCGTAGGTTTCCCATTTTACTAAATAAAATCTAAACAAAATACCCCAGACCTAAAGTTCTTGTGTGATCTTAGCCTCTCGCTAGCCCCTTGACCTTAATTCCTTTTATTCTGCCTCTTGATTCCTGCATTCCAGCTACTACAGTGGCCTTCTTGTTGCTCCTCAGACACACCAGGCCTCTTCCCACATTTGGGCCTTTGCACTTGCTGTAATTCTCTCTTCCTGTGTACTATTTCCTGGATAGCCACCTGGTTCATTTTCTCATCTCCCTTAAACCTTTGCTCAAATGTCACCTTATTAAAGAGGCTTTCCCAGAGCACCCTCTATAAAATAGCACTTATTTCTGTCCATCGCAGTCTGTTCCCGAATCCTAATTCACTTTTCTTTAAAGCACTTATTATCTGACATATGATATATATTTACTTGTTCGTCTTTCTCAGTAGAATGTAAGTTCCATGAAGGAAGGATTTTTTGTTTTGTTGTTGTTGTGCATTGCCGTATCCTTAGCACCTAGAGTGGTGCCTGGCATGTAGTCCTCGCATATGGGTCCTTAAATATTTGTTGAATGAGTGGATCTTAAATACATCTTTTTAAAGAAATACTTTTATATAAGAAAGATGTCCACTAGATGGCATTGATATCAAATTTTATGTAACTAATGTCTGGGAGCAAAAGATAGGATCTTTTCTTTTGCTTGTTCAAACCAAAAAAGATCTTTGTGTTGAAAACTGTCACAAGAAATTGCTCAGATTAATGTGAGGCATATAGAATACCACATTTATATTTGGTTTTTGACTTCTATTTTTTAAGATATCTTTTCTAAAATAAAAAAAAAATTCAGAGAAACTTGGAAAATGACCACACATTGGTATGTAAATAACCATTTGATACAGGTATCTAGCATGGTGACTGTAAGTAAGGTTAGTTCCTGTCCAAACATTGACCACCTTCCTTCTGAGGGGCCTTAATGGAATGAGAGAGCAGTAATACGTTCCAGAGCCTTTCACCACTCAAGCTACCAGTTGAAATCCAGCCTAGGGTTGGAGGCAGAAAATTATTGTCTGTCAGCTGTTCAGTTGTTGTTGCCAATGAATTAGGTACTCTCAGTCTGGTTCCAGGTCAGTGGGGTATCTTCCATATTTCTGGGAGATGTTGCCATACCTATCCTATTAAAAAATCAGTGGGTTCCAAGTGTCAGAGCTTTTTTGCTGATTTCTCCGACTAGAGTTAAACTCAGCAAATAGTTGCCCTAATTAAGAAATTTGCACATTTTCCACAAACTCTCAAGATTTGCCTGCTCTGCCTTTGCCAGTGTCATCTCATTTCTTCTTGCTGTCATCATTTACCTCATTTCCTCCTTTCTTTAGTCCCTATGCCTCTCAGGTACTTCCCCTCAATGGCCATGTGATCCATTTTGTTCTCACTCTTTACACAACCGTTGTTACTGCTCCTTCCTCCTAATGTAATTTTTTTCCTCTTTCTGTTCAACCTAATGTTGCTTTTTCTTTTCAGATTGTTCAAAATATACTTTTTTTTTTAAAGGAATGTTATTAACTAGTTTATTTCTCTCTTTTCCTATTTTAGGTTTTTCTCTTTCATTTCTGATTATAGCATATGTGAGGAACTTATTTCGTTAACAGACTCAGCCTCTTTTTGGAACTCACTAACGATTTAGAAATAAAACCACTATTCTTATATATTTTTGTGTTGTTAAATAGAACACACAATATAGAATGGCTTTAGCATTTACAGCCCTTCCTCCCAACCACCCTTGGATGGTTAAGTACCGGGCTGATAAAGTATCACTTAAAATGATGCTACACTCAGGGATTTACATTTTTAACCAGAAATATTTGAAATTCCTAGTACCACTCCATGTCTTGTACTGTTAGTGATGGTAGTTGCCTGTTGGAACTTGGCCGTCTCTAGTGCTCAACCTACCCCATGTGTTAGATCTAGTTTTGAGGTCAGAATTCAGTGTTTAGAAAATAACTTTTTGTTTACTAAGGAAATATTGGATAGCATCTGTTCGTTTAGAAAACAGTTTCCTGTTTACTGAGGAACTATTGGATAGCATTTATTTTATATGTATTAAGTTTTAATTGTGAAAGCACATTTTTCTGGTCTCTGAGTCATGGACACTTACTGATATCTGATTATTAGAGTGATAATATTCTGTGTTTGTTCAAATATATATCTTTCATTTGTGGAAGTGAAGAGTTTTTATTTCTAAACATGTCTTATAGTCAGATTGTCATTTATTAAAAAACATACATTTTTATGTTAAACCTCAGAGACATTGCTTGCTCAGTATTAGATGAGCTCTAAAAGCCCTTGCTGGGCTCAGGCTCTGACTGTTCATCTCTCTTTGTGCTTATAAAGGAGGGCTTACATTGCAAAATTGTATATTAAGCCATTTTGCTTAAACCTGCTCTATTGATAAAGCTTTTCTCCTGGTGTTGCTTATGGCTTATGAGTTTCTTAACTAAAATTCATTAGAAGATCAGAAATGTGGCCTTAAATTTTGACTGTTTTTGCTTGTGCTGTTTTTTCCCCCAACAGACTGGTTGAAATAGCAGAATCTCGTTTTCCCACATACTTTAATAATGAAGAAAAATTACTTTTGACAAGCAGTAAAGTTCATCTTTATCGGGAACTCACTTGTGATGAAGTTCTACAAAGGTATGCCATTTTAGATTTTGGTATTTTAGTAATGCTTTGGAGTTTTCTTTTTTTCTTCCTTCATGTTTTTAGCTTCTGAGTGAAAAAAGTCCCTACCTATTAGGATTATGAGAAATAATTATTTCAGTGTTCCTCTTTATTGACTACAGCCTATTGGTTGAAGTATTTCTTTAGAAATGAAAAAAAATGACTATAATGTTTTAGATTTAATTAAGTGGTATATTAATTATCTATTGTCCCATTAACAAATTACCCCAAAGTTTAGCAGCTTAAAACAGCAAATATCCATTATCTCACATAGCTTTTGAGGGTTAGGTATCTGGGAATGGCTTAGCTGGGTATTTCTGGCTCAAGGTTGCTCAAAAGCTTGCAGTTAAGCTGTTGGCCAGGGCTGTCATCTCAAGGTCACTTGAGGCTGGAGAATCTTGGAGAATTCCAGGATCACTCATGTAGTTGCTGGAAGGCCTCCCTTCTTTCCTGGATGTTAGCCAGAGGCCTCTATTTCTCACCAAGTAGGCCTCTCTTTAGGGCTGCTGACAACATGGTATCTTGCCCCCTGCAGAGTGAGTGCTCTGAGAGAGAGTGAGACAGAGCCCAAGGTGGAAGCTGCAGTCTTTTACAGCCTATTCTCAGAAATGATGTCATTTTGTCACAAGCTGTTGGTCTACAGACCAACCCTGGTACAACATGGGAAGGGACTCCACAAGGGTGTAAACGCCAGGAGGTGGGAGTAAATGGGGGCCATTTTGGCTACCACAAGTAGTTTTGCTCTAATATTGGAGCTTTATCAGTATCATAGGAGAACCAAGAAATAAAATTAAATGAAAACATTTTTGGTCTATTTCCAAAAGAGTGCAATATGTATAGGAGAGTTGAAAATAAGTTATGTTTATTGAATACTTGCAATCTTTACTGTAACTTAGGAAAGAACAATTTGTTGTTTTTAAGCTGGTTAACATTTGCAGTGCCCCCCCCCCCCTTTATTATACCTTAAATTTATCTACTATTTTATAAATTCTGCTTTTACAGGATTCAATCCTTGGAAGAAGAAATTATTTCAAAAGGAGTTAAACTTGTAATTATTGATTCTGTTGCTTCTGTGGTAAGAAAAGAGTTTGATACACAACTTCAGGGCAACTTGAGAGAAAGGAACAAGTTTTTGGCAAGAGAAGCAGCCTCTTTGAAGTATTTGGCTGAGGAATTTTCAATCCCAGTAAGTTTTTCTTTCTCTCTTTTTTCCTTAAACTTTCTTTTTTCCCCCCTTTTATATTAAGTTCACTGACTTATAATATCAAGTAATTAGAAGGAAATGTAAAAGAAAGGAAGGAAGGTAATGTAAAACATGATTTTTTAAGGTAGTGCAGTCTAATTGCTATAGCAAATATCGCCGTCTTCTGAAATTTGTTCATCTGTTGAGATTATTTTATTTTTTTCACAATTTAAACTTGGAACAGATTTAAGTATTATTTTTAAAAGTTCCAGTTCCTATAGTCACTCCTTTTCTTCTCTCTCATTGTTTACTCTTCGTGTATGTTTTTGTATTTTTGTCACATTGGGATAAGTATTAAGTGTTAAAACTCCATGAAATGGCCTATGTCTGTTTCTCTACATTTTTTTAAAATGGCAGTGGTTGTCAGTTTTATAAGTATTTGAGGTTTAGATATTGTTACTGTGTTCAGTGATTTGTACACTGTAGGATTTGATTTGCTTCAGATAGTCAGAGGTTGACTATTTGGGTGTGTTTGGAAGGATAGTAATGAAAGTAAGTAAGGAAACCTTGAAAAATTACTGTTGGCATGACTCTCAGTAGTGGGGATTGTGGTCAGGAAATCTGAAGGTGAGGTTTGTGGTGGGTAAGCTACAAGACATAAGTGAGTGTCTTACATCCCCATTAGCAGTGTGTGGGAGAGTGTGGCTTGTTCTGACGCCTCACCAACATTTAGTATTGTCAGACTTTTCAATTTTAGCCATGTAGTCATCTCAACAGAAGACAGGAAAATTCCTTAAACTGAGATAAAATTTAGTGATTTTATAATTTTTAGACTTGTTTGGAAAATGAAAATCTTGGATCTTTGTAGCACTAGTGTAAACTGACATATGGCCTTTTTGATTTATAATCCTAATCAAGAAATCGAGGGAGAAAATGTGGTGTTCAAAAAATTCTATATATTTTTATGGCTTTTCAGTTCGTATTTTGGATTACATGATACAATTCCTGGTGAAATCAAGTGCTGTAGTTTATCTTGGATGATGCTTATCTTTTAAATTTTATTATATTTGCTTAAAAGGACAAATTCAAATCCATGTTTTCCCTGATCAAGGAGAATAAGGGAATTTTAAAATATTTTATAGAGTTACTTGATTGAGTGGAAAATTTAAGAATGTATGTTTATTTTATTAACTCATACTGTTGCTGGACTTAATTTTGTGTAAAATATGAAAATTCACTTTTTAAAAGTTGTATTTGTTTGTCTTTCAGTAGTAGTTATAGTCTAATGCATTTCAGTTTTTTCTGAGGTGATTATTTTCCTGAGTGATAAAGGGGCTCTGCCTTTCCTTGTTTTTTTTTTTTTTTTGGTGGGGGGGGACGAGGTAATTAGGTTTTTTATTTATTTATTTTTAATGGAGGCACCAGGAATTGAACCCAGTACCTTGTGCCTTCTAGGCACACACTCTACTAATAAGCTATACCTCCCCCACTTCCTTGTTTTTAATAGAGCCCTCTGAAAGAATAGGTACTTAGTACCCCATGTCCTTCTGTCTTTGCCTTTGTTTTTCTATTCAGAGGTAAATGCAAAATATAATATGTACTTATGTAATACAGATAGTATCAGTTTTTCTTACAAGTCAGTATTGGTTTTAGAAGGCTTTGGAAAAATACTGCCTTAGGAAGTGTCAGAATTTTCCTGGCCTAATTACCTCATTTAAATGGCAAATCATAACCTTTTAAACTTTTATACTATACTTTGAGTAGGTGGCTTCATATGGAACTAAATGTCAAATAAAAGTATGTTGTTTTCTGGTTCATGATGCCTTTCAAATTAGCAAACCTTCTGCCTCCTTGTACTTACTCAAACATGCCAACAAACATTCCTGCCTCAAGAAGTCCTCAGCCTGAATATTCCTTCTCTACATCCGTATGATTTATTCTCTCCTGTCATCATCTTACTAGCGAGGACTTCCCTGACCATAGAAGTTTCCCTGCCTCCCCATCTCTCTTATTATGCTTTATGTTCCTCTATCATAGTTTTCACCTTCTGGCATTATATGTTTATTGTTTGTGTGTCCCTGCCACCCATGGTGTGGTTACGGGAACTGTGTCTACTTTGTTCGTGGCTTTTTTCTCAGTACCAGGAATAGTGACTAACACATAGTAGGCAGTAAATATTTTTGAATATATGAATTTAGATACAGCTTCTCTTCTTGGACTTGAATTAATCTTACATATATTTATACTGAACTTAAATTTTATTACTTGCTTTTAACTCTATTTTGATCCTATGTTTAATATTGTTTACTATTTCTAATTGTAGTAAAATATAACTTTAGATGGCAGAATCTTCTCATATAGGAGCTGTACTCAGTTTACACTGACGTCTTATAGGAAGAAAAAGAATTCTTAAGATTCTTAAATTTGGAAAAGGCTTTAGAGATGTAGATAGTGTCAGAGAGCCAGGAATTAGAAGAGATTTATCCCAGTTTAGTAAAACCATGATAAGTGAATGTCTGATGGCCTCTGAAGACAAGGCAGAAAGCCAAGCATTCCAGCCTGTTCTTTGGCTGTGGATCTGAGATGGTGGATAGAACCAGGATGCCTGGCATTCTGATGAACTCTAGATATCTTTTCATTCAAATGAGAGTAAAGAGTAAAACCACCATGGGTAGTGGGTTGAGTACTTAATTGAATTTAAACATTTCTCTACAGTGAACTTTCAATGCTTTTAAAATGGGGGGGGGGAAAGCTTAACATATAATTTGTATTTAATTTTGATTGTCACATTGTGTATATGTTTATGTATGGTATGTACAATTGTCCCTCAGTGTCTGCAAGGGTTTGCTTCCAGGACGCCCATAGGTACGAAAATCTGCGATGCTTAAGTCCATTAGGTAAAATGACAGTTCTCCTTATCCGTGAATTTTACATCCAGGTATTCAACTAACTGAAGATTATTGATCTGTGGTTAGTTGAATCTGCAGACGCTAAACCTGTGGATGTGGAGGACGATTGTACGTATGTTTGTATGCAAGCATGCCTACGTACATGGAGATTTCAACTGCCTCTCTCAGTAATTGATAGAATTAATAGAAAGTCAGAAGGCTTGAATAACATAGTCAGTCAACTTGATCTAATGGATATTTACAAAACAGTCCACTCAAATGCTTGCAGAAAACATACTCCTTTCAGGAGCACATGAGATAGTCACCAAGATAGACCGAACTATGAACCATGAAATAAATCTCAAAATATTTAAAATATTAAAATAGTAAAAAGTGTGTTTTTTTACCACAAGAGAATTAAACTAGAAATTGGTAACAGAAACATGTCTGAAAAATCCACAGATACTGGAAATTAAACAAAAACACTTCTAAATAACCTATGTGTCAAGGAATAAATCACAAGAGAACTTAGAAAGTATTTTGAAGTACATAAAAGGATAAGAGAGCAGTCTGCTCATAAAGCAGTGTTTTATTAAACTAGCTTAAGGCATCAAGCTCTTTTAAATGCAAGTAATATTCTCATGAACCACTGTTGCTGATTTCAGACTTATTATAATATCACAGCAACATATAGAATTATAAAACTAGCTAATAACTTCATATTACATCATAGGAAACTATAAAGGTGGGTTGTATTTACAGCAGTCACAGTACTAGTCATATTAATTATTCTAATGTTATAGAAGATATTTTTCTAAATTAAATTATTGCTTACAATATAAACAAACTATGGCACAGCTTGTTTTGAAATATATATATATATATATATATATATGTATGTATATCTATATATCTATATGTATATGTCTCCTGTAGTTCATATGATGACTCAACTTTCCCACCTCTTTTTTTCTGTCTGAACTACTACAAAGCCTTCTGTTTGGGAAGAGTGACATCATTTGGCCCTCACCTGGGCATGAATGCCTTTATGTTTGAATTCTGCCGTTACTCTTTTCTCATTCGTCTCTGACAATTAAAGTGGTACTACTTGGCATCACTTGATTGAAAACACACATTAACATCTTGTGGCAGGTCTCAGTTATAAAATGCCTATCTTGATATTTTGAGGTCATCATTGAAATGGAAATATAAAATTAAAAAATTCTCAGAGATAATTTATAGACCTTTGTATATGTTCACAGATTGTCGTTTGAGAAACACAGGTTTACGAATTTTGTAGAATCTTTTTTCCTGAATTTTATGGGGGAAGTTTAAGGGACACTGTTACTGGGATGTAAGATGCAAAACCTTTGTCTTTTTAAAGTGCGTCCCTGCTAGTTTTGGAAGAAACAGTAGGCTCTGAAACTGTTTATAGGTAATCGATGAGAATGACATAAAAGAAGAATTTAAATATTGCCTGTATAAAATAAACTGTGGTTATGGTTATTTATATTGCCTGTTTATCATTGCCATCTAATGCCATACAGAACAGATATTATGCATATTGTTAATTATGTATCAGATTAAAATAATAGAATTTTCTTGCCAAAAAAAGACCTTAAAGGTCATTTAGATTAGCCCCTTCATTTTATAGATGACACTGAGGCTGAAAGGTGACCTGAGTTGTTCTCCTGTATTTAGCATAGAAGACAGGTAGTGGGTAGAATGCAAGATCTTTTCAATGCCAGTTGTGAGATTTTTTTTTTCTATAGTAGAATTAGTGTTTTTCTTAGATCTGCAGAATGATGGTGGACTGTAAACGTCTTAAGGACAGGATTATGTCTTCTGTTTTTCTGATTTCCAGGGCTTAGTCCTATGGATGAGTAATATTTAGGAAGTAACAGCTAATAAATGACAATTATTGAATCATAATGTTGTACATCTGAAACTGACATAATGTTTTATGTTCTAGCTCAGTTTTTAAAGAAGCATATATGAAACCCTGAAATAACAGATACTTATATATTAACTTCGACATCTGCAAAGAACTGAAAGTTAACGTTTTCTCTCTTGAGCTGAATAAGGACAGTAATTTGTTAAAATGATGGTAAATAA